CGCATACTCTAATGGTGAAAACAGGAAAGAACACATGAACCCAGATTTTCAAATATTTAATTTTTCTTTTGCATGCAGATATCCTTTAGAATCCAGCCAGTTTTCTGTCCTTATAAATAAAGTTTTATTGGAACACTGCTACACCCATTTACTCGGTTATGGTTGGTGGTGGCTTCTCTGCTGCAAAGCAGCAGTGGGTAGTTGCAGCTATTCATCTGGCCTGTAAAATCTGAGGTATTTACTCTCTGAACCTTATAGCAAGAGTTTTCTAATCCCTCCTTTAGAATTATTTTTAGTCCTTACACAGGGGAGGAAATAACTACAGATAAAGAAGCACAGATTTAAATTTGATGTATGGAAGAAGTTTTCCCTGAGAGAAAACAAAACAAAACAAATAATGACAGAGGTTGTCACCAGAAGTATAGGACAGTGTCCTTGGGTTTCCCCTTCCTTCATTACTCTTCCAGTCTTCAATGACTAAATTCTTTTCATTACTTCAATTCATGACTCTAACACCAGCTCTTCCTTGGTACTTTCTCACATCCTCCCAAAGTGATCTCAGCTCCTGCTTCTATAGCACCACATGTTTATCTCCATGTTGTGTTATTTTACTTTTCTTGCTTATTAGGTTAGCTGCCACAGAAAACTATGAACACTTGCTGTCTCAGCCAGAGGTGGCATGCTCCAATCATTCAAAGAAGGGGAAGATTTACTAAAGATTGTCAGGGCTGTGGAAAGCCAACAAGAGATGAACTGGCAACATCCAAAGGCCATTCCCATGAAGAAGTCTGAATGGGGTATGGGGACTGAGAAGGTGACAGAACACAGAGAGCTGTGGTTATAACTATAACTGGAGTGTGAGAAAGGATTGCCCAACCAAAGCTACAACCTGAGACAGAGGAGTCCAGCCACTGCAATGCATGAGGAGGCAGGGAGAGAGCAGGAGAGCAAACACCTCCACCTGCTAGATCCTCCCTCTGGACACACTCTAACAAGATGCCAGAAGCAAGGGAGCCTCCTACCAAGGTTCGTGAGGTGCACAGCTGAGTAGCAAAGGATGAAGAGTACATTGAGAGGGAGAAACAGAAGTTCTCCAGCACATTCCCATAGCAGGTTTTCAATGATGCTGCTGGACCCACTTAGTTATGATGCAGTGGAAGGGCCTGATTACTGTAATGATTTGGATGCAAATCGTTAAGAGGCCAGAGGATGAAAAGGAGGATTTACATAAATCCATTTCTGCCCCATGCATCTATCAAAACTGTACTGCTGTCAGAACTGAGGATCTAGTACAGTCCACATTTCATCTCCCTTTGGTGGAATAGGAAAGAAAGAATATACCAAGAAGGAATCCATCCGAGGAACTGTTACTCTCATCTGTACCTAAAAGCAAAAAAGTACTTTTCCCCAAATTAAAGGAGAATGTTTGCTATTGAAATGTGAGCTGGAAAAAAAAAAATCACTCAGTCCCCAGCCTTCTCATCAGTTAAATGCTATCCCAGCTACAAGTGTCAAACAGCTCTACATGAAGCCAGGGAATGTGTTTTGCAAATAAAAAAGCACAGTGTGAACTGCTGACTTTTTTGATCAAAAAGTATCCTGAGGAGGGCTGAACAGTTTTGAGTCAAGAAGAAGCTTTGATTTCTGGGGTGATTTCTATTGTTATCAGAGAGAAAATCCTACTGACCACGAATATAAGACTACTTGACTCCTGCCTGCTGGTGGAGGAAACCTGTGGTCACTCGCCTTTCTGAGTTTCACCCCCCTCCCCCGCCCCCCTTCCCCCGCCAATGGAACATATTTTCCATTTCAGTTCCATTTACCTGTCATTTTCTCCTTAAAGGATAATTTTTAAAGTTAAAAAAAAATCATCAACATCAAAGAATGTATTTCAGTGGTACCAGGGCACACACATATGTGAGTGAATGGGCTCTCTCTCACACACATACCCACATGTGCACACACACACACACACACAAACACACTCTCACACTCTCGAACCTCTCCCGTCAGGTTCTGAATTTGTGATTAAGGACCACAAATTCAATTCCCTCAGTAGGAGCATTTTGCAACATCTGGACTTTAAGGTTTTTTTCTTTTTTTAATTCTGTAGTTCCTCCAGCCTAAAAATTTAAAAGTTGTTGCAAGGGAGCTATAATTTCTAACTCAATGCTTCATGATTTGCTTATGTAAAGTAAAAAGTGTAATGAACTTAATAGTACCTTATTCTTGGAGGAAATTATGAGGAATTTTCTTCTGCAAAATATGCAAGTCAAAATTACCTCTGGGCCTCGTAACTCTCAAAAATATGGGTCATAATGATTATTGCAGTAGAATTTCAAGACTTAAAAATTTAATATGCTTCTCTTTCTTCTAGTGAGTTTCCCAAAAGGACATCTCCTCTTCCTGGGATAATATGTAATAAATGATAAAGAACTGAAGTGACAGGTGGAGATGCACATTCTACTCTTGGTGTAATCCTAGTTATATGACTTCAGGAGAAGCAGTTAGCCTCTCTGGGCCCTAATCTATTTCTTCTACAAGGTGAAGGACTAGATAGAACTCATTCCCACTTTAGCATTCTATGATTCAAAACAGAGAATAGAAAGGAACAAAATAATAAAATAAAAATAAATAATGTGACTTGGAATAATGCAAGTTTCTTTATATTATTTTATTTTCAGAAGTCTAATCTGGAATCATCCCTGCCTGCTTCTTGTCTGCATGGTTTCAGCACGAAGCATGTTTGAGTCCTTTAAAGGCTAGTTACCTTTTACCTCATCCCCGTCTAGGTCTCTTCCTGATAATCACAACAGAGCTCTTTCAAGGCAGTTTCAACAGATCTCCCTCCCAAAGAATCAACACAAACACCACCTTCTTTCTCTCATTATCCCAGCAGCAGTATCATAAAAAAAGAAGAGAACATAACACAAAATTTGTAGTCACTTGGCCAAAGTAGTATCCTGTTCAACAACATTTAAGCACCCTCACATGCATAGTCACAGGATGGTCCCAATCTGGATGTGCAGATGTAGCAATCTGCTTCAAGAAGACAAGGAAGATAATTCACTCAGGCAAAAACTCTCATAAGCGTGATAAAAGGACATTTAACAAAATTAAGATTCCCAGGTGGTACAAACAATAGGTTCTCATTTTCACAGTGTTCTATGCCAGTCAATTCACAGCCCACAACTTGTCTCCAGGTAGAGCCATATGCCAACAGGAAAGCAAGCTTGGTTTTGTGTTTTCAGCTCACACTAATAATGTAGCAGGATTTTACTTACACCCATATGCAAGCTTTCCCTAGGCAAAATTTGCAATGTGGGCAAAAGTTTCATGGATACTATTTCCTCTTTCTGGGATCTGCAGGCATCCAATACCTCTATGGTCACCTACCTCCCCCTGCTCCACCTTGTTCCACCCAGCCCAGCCCTTCTTGCATTCGATGTTCTATATCCTTTTATTTGATAATTCTCTCAACAAAGTTCTGCTCATCTGGATAACATTTGGAAATGATCCAAAGCATTTTATTAATGAGAGCTACTATGAACTATTTAAAGACAATAGCTTAGTATGTTTGCTTTTATAGGGCATTTGCATAGGAGTTGAGACCCAAAGCAAGAATCTGTGGTTTTGGAGACCAACTGACAAGGATATTTCTGGGTTGAGGGAATCATTTCTGAGTTGCTCATATCATACCATATGGCTGTCTTTGTCCCTGCCTGAGCCCAACACAGACCACATTGGTGTGTTGCTCTACAAAGGAGAGGCTGAGAAATGATCCCTTTATCGTACGTTTTCCCAGAAGTTGAAAAGAAATAAACATAAATATACACACCATATTTGGACCACTTCCTACCTGGAGACAGCAAGATCTAAGAGATGAGGTCACATTCACATGGAGAAGAACTTAAAACACTACCAAAGTCCTTGGTCTCTACAGGTATACTGGTCAATGCACAGCACACATAGTCATAGAAATTGATTCTGAATAACAAGAGAACTTGACACATCACATACACATAAACCTTAATGCAATCCTTTTCTCAATTCCCAGGAATCTACATCCATGAACAGTTTATGAAAGGAAATGTCCACTCTTCTGGGGTAAAGAACTGATCTCTACACAATAGAGTAAGATGTATAGCTGCAGAGTTTAAAGGTACAACTGATAAATCAATTCAACAATATTTTATTGGATACTTTCATGCAGCAGGCTTGGGGCCAGGTGCTATGAGTATACAAATGCACAAAGAGCATCCCCATCAAATATGCAAAAGAAGGTACCAAGCTAACCTTCTGCTTTAGTAGTTACATGAAAGTGAAAGGAGTGGCTTGCTTGATTTCATTTCTTGCTATATTCACATGCCTCATAGAACACAACAGGTGACCTACACTTTAGCCCAGAACCTGTGAAAAAAGTGACCAAGCTTCCAAAATCAGTGACTTAGTCCGTTTCTCACACTTACTATAGTGATTCTCAAACCTGTAAACAAATCTAATCAGGTTGTTAAGAATGGCGTTTGTCAGCACTAAAATTCTTAGAAAGCTTATAGATAAGTGAACTGATTTATATCCAAGAAGATCTCTGACACTTTCTCAATTCTTCAGCATTTAAGTTTGCATTGAATTCTTGTTCAACTTAGCCTCAAAGTTAAGATAAATGGGTGATGGAGCAGCTATATATAGGCTTGGCATTTGGCATAGTGGTACAGTAGTGTTTTTGTATAAGCTAAAATCGATTTCAGCTGGAATTAATGTAATTATATATAACGTTGACAGACTATGACATTTGCCTATTAAGACACTGCACAAACATTCCAATAATTTGCCGGCTTTTGAGTTCGTAAAATAAAAATGAAACAAAATCCCAAGGGATATTGCTAATGGGGTAACTTGAATAGATGTTTCAAAAGCACAGGGTTCAGGAAATAACAGTCAAAGAATAATGTACTTTAAGCCAAAACATATAGAGTGGTAAATGAATATTTAGTACTTACCACAAGACTGCTATCCAGGGACAGCCTTTTTCCAAAGTCCCTTTTTTCAAGTTGTCTCTTTCCCTCCATGGGCCAGGTTATTTATTTTCCTTTGTGATTTATAAGAATCCCCCGTCTGTTTCCAGGGTCACTGCGAAAAGGGAACATGTGTTTTACTATCCAAGCGCTCAGTGTTTAGATCCTTGTTTTTCAGCTTTCCAACCAGAAACAAGTGTTGAAGCCAAAAAAAAATACCCAGGCCCAAGAAATAAATATAGAACTGAGATCTCTCAACTCAAAACATCTCTCTGGGTTACAAATGTTGGAGTTGTCTTTTTGGAGGCCCCTGTGTTTTTTACAGGTTTTGCTAATGGAGTTGGGGAATGGGTTTGCTGGTCGAATCAGCAGACTGTGGAAAAAAGCAAACAGTCCGTTTCATGCCACACTGGCTCCACACCCGTTCTCTCTCTATCAGCCAGAATTGTTCTGTTACTATGCACATAGATGCTGTCTGCAAATTCCATGAGATCAAACTGACAAAACCACACTCCATAACCAAGAATTATTGAGCCCAAGGCCCAAGGAGGATTGAAATGTGAACATTATTGTCAATATTTAATTTAAAAATATGTCATTTAAAAATATTTGAGGAACATTATAAGATACGTTCCTTTTGGGACAGATTGATTCAGAATGAATGGTGGATGATGTCATTATTGTCTATGAGTATTTATGAAACAACCACTGCACTGTAACATGTAGTTCATCTCTGCACTCCACTGAGATTGCTTGCTCTAGAATGATGAAGTATTCTGCTTAATAAACATCTGCCCTGTATATTAAGTGCTAGCTTCCAATTTTCACTGTGATGTAAAAAATTTGCAATAAAAGAAATGGGTTTAAAATGAGAATTTCTTAGCCTTTCGCTAAGTGACCATGGATAAGTCATTTAGCCTCTCTGAAATGTGTTTTTCTGAACTGCTAAAACACAATTACGGGAATCAAATAATACCTGTGAAATGACTGAATGGTAATATTTTATAGTTTTCATTTACAATTACCCACAGATGACATTTATAAACAGTGAGCATGAACTGATATAAAACAAAAAAATAAAAAAGAGTCCTGATGATTCAGAAAACACTTGGAGATACAGAAATTGTTCATAATTCTCATAAAGTCATGGTACTACTGACACAGAAGCATTTAACAAAATACTGAGTTAATCAGTTTGTATAAAACCAAAAAGAAATATGTTCTACCACTCTCAATGGCTCCAAGCCTGACAAGGTCAAACAGCCACACCCAGAGAAAGAGGGATATGATGAGTGTGCCCATGACAGTGTATGCACAAAGTACAGTCCCTTGCAGGAAGCTGATGGTCCCCCTTTCTAGCTTGCTCCCTCCTCCAACCTCATCTTGCAGCTCTCCCTTTCAGGAATACTAATTTCACGACCTTACCAGCCCATTCAGAAACTCCTAGGAGTCCTTTCAGAACTCGGGAGAAAATTCAAAAATTTCAACATCATTTTCAAGGTCTACTTCCTGCCAACTAGTCCTTTACAGTCCCCAGACACACTCGTAACATTCCTGAGAGCATGCTTTTGATCAAAATTCTCACCTAAGTCTCCCCTAATCCTCTCCATACGCCGGGGCCTGGCTCAGGTCCCATCTCCCCCCAGGACAAATCCATTTGGTAATGATTCCCTATCTCTCCCAATTTTCATAGGAGTCCTTAGGGATTTTTTTTTTTGTCTTATTAATCATCTTAGTCACCTAGGATAGTTCTTTAAATACATTAAGTTCTTAATATATTGTTGTTGGCAGGAGCTAGTAGTTGGAAATAAGCAAACAAAGCCCAAGCATTGTTTTTCAGGAAAAAGAGGTTCTGTACTATTACTATAGTCAAAACTATTAGTCAACAAAAATTTGTTTTAGAGACTCCCCTACTTTATAGGGCAGCCTCCCTTTTTGCCTTGGTGCCTATATTCTCTGTTATCTCCAAAAATTCTTTCTCTTGAGGATGTAATGATGAGTCCAATCAGATGAATGGGCTGCCATATTTCCCATTCTGTCAAGAACATGCCCTCTCAAGTCTTAATTCTGAAGAGCAAAGGGGTTTGATAGATCACAAACCCTTTGGCATTTGGCACATATGTAGAGAGTACCTACTATATGGAATGCACTGTCCCTGGATATTGGTGACACAGCCATGTGTTAAGAAAGACTAGGGTCCTGTCATCATGGAACTTACATCCTACTATTAGCATTCAGAAAATAAATAAGCAAACAAACAAGAGAAGATCAGTTTCTTAGGCATGAAAAAGGTGGGAAGAGAATGTGTGAGAACACTGCTTATTTGTAAGAAACTCCAGCTGCTGAATTTTATGCTTCATCACAGGCTGGTGAGGGTGTTGTTTGGGGAAGTGGGGATCCTTTTCACAGTACTGTGATGTACCCATAGGAAAGACATGACCCCCATCAGGTGGTATAGCAAGTGTCAAGAACATGGGCTTGGAAACTTTTGGGGTAGAGAGTTAGGATAGGAGCCAGCCATGGAAGAGATGGGTAAGTTTTATCCCAGGTAGAGGGACCAGGAAAAGGAGATGGAAAAGAGCTTTGCATGCCCTGGAAAACCGGGTCACTTTCTTAGGAATGAAGAAAGCTAGAAGGAGAATGTGTGAGAACAGTGCTAAACTGTAGACCACAGCCACAGGCTCCTGTTCTCAGCATAAAGGTTAATCTTAGGGTTTGAATCTCTTTATTCTTAAATAGATGATAACATTAAACAGATTATTTAACATATTTAATCCTCGGTTGATTCACCTTCTTCATAGTAGGATTGTTGTGATGATAAATGGACATTCCATTTAAAGAGTTTTGCTATCTAGTGATATATAGGCGACGTTTAAATATTAAATATGTTGATGATCTTTTCTGGTAAATATAATCAAATTCATTAGGAGAGACTCTAGCTTCTGGATTTTAGTTCTGTCAGAGGGGTTGTCTGATGGGGTTGTCACTTCGGAAATGGGGATTCTTTTGACAGTTCTCAAATAGCCAATCTGCCTATAGAGAAAGCTGACTTAACTGCTTGATGTGATCAATTTCTCTTCATACTTCATGGTGTAATATAGATAGAAATAGTATTCACATTATTTAGCAACCACATTGCATGGGCATGACAAATCATAAAGGTGTATTCTGATCAGGACTGACCATAGTAACAAACAGTATGGCCACAGTAGTGAGTCCTGGCCAGTTGCCAGCCCAGGTGTATACACTATCTTGTTAGTTACCCCATAGGACAATCTTGGGAAGGACCAAAGAAATTATTCAAATGGATCAAAGCAAGGCTACCTAAAAGAAATAAATGACATCCAGGATATGGTAATATGAAGAGGGGAGTGATCAACAAAGGAAAAATCACAAGTCTGATTCTCATACTCTTATCTCTTGCACTGTTGGGAAGAAAATTAATTTTGTCACTGTTCTGGAAGCTGGAAGTCCAAGATCAAGTTTCTGCATTCCTTTAAATGATATAATGCCAAATGCAGAGCAATGTGGCACACATTCAATGAGCATTTATTGTTTGCATGCATACTGAATGGGCAAATGTTTGCAGCCATACGTGTGAGAGATGAAGAACAGGGTAGTAATATAAAGTCACCAAAGGGAAGAAACACTACACATACTTGCAATGGCGAAGTTACTTGTTTCTTTAGCCAAACACACACAGACACACCCAGTCTCAAAAAGATCCTGTAATGTTTTTAAAATACCAGAAACCTAAAAATTACTCTTTAGGACTTGCCTAAATCTACAAATTTTCATAACACAGTGGTGTTCATATCTTTTCTGTGTCTGTCTTCTCACATCTCTGGTTGTAAAAAAATGTTCTTCTGATTCAGGATGATGGGATGGAAGCTCCTCCTTCCCTCCATGAGAAGGAAAAATGGTCAGGCAGTTGAAGAAAAGCAGGATATTAAGCCTCCTCTTATTGACTAATGGTTACTGATACTGATCTTCCCTTCCAACGCCCCAGACATCTCTAGTTGATGAAAGTAGTTCTTAGATTTCTATAGAAGTCTGAAGAAATTTAAACTGGCCTTTATTAGTAACCTCTGTTTTGGAAAAAAATAAAATTCCTCGCAGATAGTGATAGTCTTTGAGTCTAGACAGATTTTTAATATTTCTAAAACTGTCACTAATTTTTATTTTCTGATAGTCTTTGTAAATAGACTGTATAATTTTTAGGAGACACTAACCAAACGGCACATTTAACTAAGTCTCAAAGGCATATTTCCTCACATCTCGTCACATACACTTAGATACACACTCAAATACATCCTCACATACATACACTTATTCATTCAGATACACTCACACTCAAAAACTCATGTACCTACACATTCACTCATATATGCATGCATGTACACACTGAGATATGCATATACACACTCAGATACACCCACACAGACACAGACACTCATTCACTGAGATACACACTCACATACTTTCTGAGCGTTGTTTTCTCCACCCCAGTTTTACCTCTCTGATTCCCTCGCTCCCAGCCTCTGCTTTAATATATTAATAATGGTGCTGGAAGAAACAGAGCAAAATGGTAGAGCCAAAGGACTGTGGCTCAACCATTAGAACATTGGGTTCCCAGCTCTCCTTTCCCTATAAATTTGAGCAAATCCCTAACTTCTGTGACTTGACTTTACTTATGCCTTGTGCACTAAGTTATTGTAGGGTTCCAGCAAGACAATTCATTGATAGCCCTTCCAGGTCTAGATTCAAGATGTCTTTCACTCAGCTTCATTAACCAAAAAACAATGCTCAATAAAATTGCTAATACCCTCATAAATGTTCAGAAAAAAGAGATTGTGTCAAATTAATCGGTATATTCCCTATAGTGCCCAGCACACCACAGCCCACATGGTAGGCACTTAAAGAGTAACTGTAGAATAGAACACACTGTCTTAGTCTGTTTTCTATTGCTACAACAGAAGACCCTAGATTAGGCAACATAAATAAAAGGGGGTTAATTAGCTCATGGTTCTGGAGACTAAAAGTCCAAACTCAGA